GATAAATGTTTTGTAAGTACTACACGAGGAGCCCTTTGTAAAAAATATACTTATATGTTTGATTTTCATTGGTTGGAAATTCTAAAATAGAACTTTTAAGTTAAATCAGATTAGGTAATCGATTTGTTGGTGATTCGACCAAAATAAACAAACAATTGTATCATCCTGATATGAAAAATAACTGCCAAATTTGATTCAAGACATTACGGCCAAGTTTGTACAACGACGCATGTTCGTTGGGAAGAAATAAACAGTCATAGAAAATGTTTCTTAAATAACTTGTATTTTATTTGTGTCAACAACAAAAGGAATATTTCATTTACGCACAATTGACGTAAATCGCTTTTAACAGGGACAGTCATAGATTAATATTTTCTACATCAATTATTCAAATAGAGTTTTTGGTACAATAATATCATAAAATAATGCTTGAAGGCTACAATTTTTAAATGGAATGTAATTGCACGTTTCAATTCTAATTTCAGATTATCAACCCTGAATGTAAGATTTTGGAAATAAACAACTCGTTTACGTACTTCAGTCATTTTCGGCTTTCCCAAATACTTATTATAAGATCATTGATATACGGATACATGCTCGATACATGTATGGATGTGTTCAGCAATGTCTCTAAATGTAATTTGTTTAAGGCAATAATCAAAATAGCATTCAATAAATTTTTAACTACCTAGTCTAACATAAGCAAAAAGCACTTAAAGTTATGCAGTGTTATGTATTTATACTCACCATGTTGTTTTCTCGCAACAGTATATCATATTAGTATGTTTGGATGCAAGAATTATTATTTTTCAATAAAAAATGTACCCCCATTTTATCAAATAACCATTTTTTTTAAAGCTGAAAAATTTAGATGTTTTTTTTTCTTTCAGGAAAACTATTCAATCTAAATTTGATAAACATAAATTATACCACCATTTAAAACGTCCTCTTTCCAACCATACAATAACCATTGATGAACAATTATCGCAAAAAGAAAAAGTTTAAACAGTTCATGGTCTAAAATGCAAATATTTGAAATATTTGCTCATAGAGACTCACTTATTTAGCTTCTATAAGACACTCCGATATCAAAGTAATCTTCAAGGGATTTAGAAACTGAAAGACCATTTCTTTTTAGAATAAAACTCTTCCTTCTTATTAAAATTACATGTTAATTTGGGGATTAAACATACATTGCCTTTAATTAGTATGTCTACAAATCGAGACAACACTCAGAAAAATAAACTGTTGTAATTGATCATGTACAAAAATAACAGAATGAAAATAATACAGGTTAAATATTTGCTGTATTTGAAATTGTAGTATTACATCTAAGTTCAACAAAACTAGTAAAACAGATTTCTAATTTATATCTTCCGCGAAAAGTAAGTGGATGGTTTGATATATTAACCTTTTAACATATTAATGAACATTATAAATCAGTTCAATTCTAGTAAATTTTATGCGATTTTTAACCTTTTCACTGTTGGAATTTTGTGCTTAGTCGTGTTTCTTGCAAATTGCTAGATCTGCACTTTTCAAGACCGACAACGTTCCTTAATCCTGTTTCACATTTTTCTGACCTTGAACCTTTATTTAGGACCCATATAAAATATAAACATTGACATTTAATAACTTCCCACATTCAACAGAAAGCGGGCCTAACGACGAATGAACTTCAGTGCAAACTTAACTTTAGCCTTGAGCAGACAAGATAAACATTTGCTAAATAATGTGTGAAGTTCAAGCAGAAAGTAGCTAGGTTTTAGGACTACTTGTTGTGAAATGAACTTCATCTGGATTTACTTTTGAATTCTTTAACAGACCTAAAAAGAAAGATGAAGTTTGTCTACATATCGTCTTAAAATCAGTGGAGAAACAGGTTCAACCACTGTATCTCGTATGATACGATATTTTTAAATTTTCATAATTAAAACGTGTCGCCATTAAAACTGCATTTGCGACCATTAAATCACCAATTGCAGGCGATTACTTTTTTACTGCAGAACTGTTATTCCTTATTTGGGCTGTAATTGTTTCAAGAGACAGGATCATATAAAAAGACAGGATTGATGTGTTCTGAGATATGCGATATATTTTACCCTTTTACCCTAAATTCAATTTTTGGAACTCTTCAACCAGATAATTTGTTTTCATTCTAGTTAATATGCCATTTTTGGTCAAAATCTTCCATTTCAATCATTATGAAGACTATAATTCCTACGTTTTCCTCCAAGTTTCAGTAATATAAATTAAATCTCAGTTCTATGATCTTAGCAAGAAGATGCCGCACAAAAACCACATGTACCTGTTATATTCGGCAACGCCTACAATTTATAGAAGCACGATGACTTATTGAAATCTGGGCATTGATACATTTTTAGTTATATCTGAAGCCTGTCCAGGTCTATAATTTGATTATTTGTTTATTCAGCGTTGAATGCTATGTACTTTCGAAGATGTACGCTTGGTCCCATCATCCAACTGAAAAAGGTGTTACTCTGGTAAAATTAAAGCGTAATTCTAAAAGGATAAATTTGAAACGATAACGCCCATACTCGTTTTCGTACATTTGTCCCGATATTCTTTTCGACTTAGTGTTGATCAGCGTTATCGTACGGTGAATAAAACATAAAAAAACATGGCCTAATTTAAAATACTGACATGATGAATTTAACGTAGGCAGTAAAACGGTTGCCTTAGAATACGTTTTATTCAAAAAAAGAGTGTGTCCAGAAGTATAAGTTGAACGATTCTAGATGAAAATAAAAAAAGTAGTGTTAATATGTGTGTTAATACGAATAATACAAAATGAATCATTTTGAAATTTTCAATATTTTCAATATTTTATCCGGCAAAGGGTTTTCACTATACGAATACAAAGATAAATACATTTCTAAATATAACACGCCAATGACTGTGTTCTCTTTTAACCAATGATTTTTCTAGAAGTTTTAAGAAAGTAAAATAATGTTGAATGCTCGTGCAACAGCAAAGTATATTTAGAAACATAGTACATATATTATATAAGATAAAAGTGAACCAACATCTATATTTGGTGGTCGTATGGTAGGATAGCTAAAGTGGATACCTAGCGGTATGCGGCGGTTGTCTATCTCATAGTCACTATACCAGGAGATTCAAAGACAACATTAAGACTATCACGAAGTTGCGGTGATGACGCCACCCCCGTGGCAAAACTATTCGAGACAATAAAAGATACCACAACTTAGTGATAGCCTTAGTGATTTGTCTTTGAATCTTCTTATATATTATATATGTAAGTTTTATTGAATTCGACATTGATTTCAAAATGAAAGATGTGAACATTTTTTTTATACAAGTCACAGGTAACATGATACTTTTGGGTTGGTGCGACTTAATATTAAAGATTTGAGAACTAATTCATGTCGCGATTCAACTTGCAATGATTTGGTTATATGGAGTGCGTGAACACATTAGAACACATGACCTTATCAAATACCTTGACTATAAGCCTGGTATGATTTACGAGTTCTTATATTTTATTTATTCAAACCAGGAAAATTTCAGTAAGAAGACATGAACTGATGGAATGATATTAGTTTTCATGTTGTTAATTTCAAAAATGTTTCCTAAATCGAGATATATAAGGAACATATTCGTTTAGTAGTATCACACATCTAATACATATTGTAGTATGCAAGCGTTTATGATATAATTGTTGTAAACGTCATTATAAGTGATACACAGATCGGTAGAGGTTTTAATCATTTTTTGAGGTCACATAAACAATTATGTGGGTCCTTCATGGAACAGTCATGTTAAAAACCATTGTTTTATTGAGTATTGAAATATAGGTGGAAAACAAAACTCAATCTGTATGCACATCTCCATAAAAGAATCTGTGGGATTTTTCTCATTGCTTTTTTTTGTATAGTAAAGAAGTTGTTTTTGGAAAAATGATAAACAAATGATTTAAACATTCTTTAATTTGATACTATTACTTCTAAATAAACCTGTTAATTTAGATAGTACTTAGAAGACATTTTAACAGATTTCACCAAAGACGGTTCTTTCATGTTGAAAGTAACGTTTTCATCTTTTAATGTCCAGTTCTAAGTGACTAAGTTACTTTCTTTAACCGTAAATGCTTATTATATTGAGGTCAGAATTTTGTGGTAATTCTGGACGTAGGAAGCTGGAAGGTTGACTTTTTTGCGACAATGTTAAGGTTTCAGTTCAAATAATTTCAGATTTGACTTTTATCCGTTGAATCTAAACATATGGCTGAACTTCATGAAGACACAACCAAACACTATTTGATATACTTTTTGAAAACATCCTTTGAAGTTTTGAATATCTTTCATCAGATCTTATTTTTGAGTTTTATGGTAATCTTCGAAAGTGGTTACAAAAGGAGTGCCATTTTTTTTCTATCGGTGACGTTTGGTGGCTCAATTTAATTTGGCGTACACTTCTAGGCTACTTCGAATACGCTGGATTGCAGTAAGATATCATATCACATTGGATGCAATTTAGAAGTACTAATACATTTATTGTAGGGCTAAAATAATGTTTTGAAAGGAAACCAGATATATGCAAAATTATTGCTGTGTTATTATTACACATTTTCCAATCTTTTTACTGATACTATTTGAAACGTTTAAAACTGAAGAAGACATTTATTCTGTCAACCGGTCTCGTTTCTGTTGGAAGTCTTATGATTACAGCAGTGTCTTGTATTTTCACATAGTGGATATATTCAAAATTGAACATCAGTAAAATACTTTTGCTCCTTTTTAAAATACGTTGTCCAGAACGCAGAGGAGAGCTGTAATAAATGTAATGCATATCATTTTTGTTAATCATTTGTGCCAAATCATTTTAAATCTTCAATGCATTAAACATGTGAAGCTCAGTACCCCAAGCTTTTCTGTTACAAACACATGGGTATTGGTATTGAATAGACTTTTAGTTAGTTTGATAACTTAACTATTTATATTTATTCTCTCTTTCAGTCTGAATTATTGCCATTGTATCCGCTGGCTGCAGCATTTACGTTCAATGTATCTTTTTTCATAACGGACTGGGGATTTTCAGGAGTAGAACCACTACTTACAAGTCAATACATAAAAAGAACAAGTCCTCGATATGAGCGGTTTAAAACTATGTACATCCCAAAAAGAACTCAAGATGTGAACACACATTATGTCCATCCAAAACCTGGATACAAAAGGTATGCTTCATATATTAAATCATCGAAAACATTTCAGGTAATATTTAGAGAGGTGCGAAAGATACGAAAGAGATTCGAGCTCATTAGTCGAAAACAAACTAACAAAAATGCCATGGTAAAACAACGGAAAAAGCGACGAATAGACAAACAATGGTGCACAAAACACAACATAGAAAACTAAAGACTAAGCCACACGAACCCTACTAAAAAACCGAGGGTGATCCCAGGGGTCCCGAAAACGAAAGCATATTCCGATCCACCTGTAGTATCTATCATGTTGCTCATGTAAGTACACACCCGGTGAAGTCTAATTGGGTAGGTCACTTTCGAGTAAGAGAGGGCGAGATTGTGATTACGATTTCCGTGAAACAGATATTCAATAACGGTCAACCAATTCGTGATGGCGTCCGTTCAAGTTTTAGGGAATGATTTCGAGTGGGAACTCTTGATTCAAATGCTTCCTCGTAAGCAGCGACCCTATATCAAGGAAATCATGATAGGAAATGCATGCTCTGGAATATCGTATCAAGTAAAAGATATATACTTCATATGCAGGTGCTGCGGGAATGCTGCTACATAGAAATGGAAAGTTCACAATTGGGAAGTTGAAATCATCTCTTTTTGTCGTAAAGTTTTGTTTCCATCCGACCCTCAATGTCAAGTTCTAAATGTAAGTCAAGATATCAGGCAGACTAAACTGTATTTGTGGTATCATTTATTTCAAGGTCGATGGGATAGATGCGTTCAAACATAGTCACCAAACTTTGAATTATTTAGTGAGATGCCATCATGTACATAGCGGAACGTGAAGTTACAGGATAATGCTAGCTTTTTGACATTCTTCATAAGAAGCTCATGTATAAAGAAATCTTTTATTGCATTTTAAGTCATTTATACAGTAAACATTTATTAAAATTTGAAAACCCAATAAAATATTCTATTAATTGCGAAATGCGAAAACGGGCCGCATTACTTGATATTAACCAACAATACACAGCGACTTTGTCAGCACATTTTATAATTTCTTTTTAAATCTAATTATATATATTCAAACAAAAGGGACTGAATATATTGCTGGAATGAAACTATACTTACAAGGGTTGGTATATTGCTCATAGGCCTTCAAAGTCTCTAACAATACATAATTCTCAACATTTCAAATGGTTTATACCAAGAACATTACAACAAGTTAATATTTGCGACGCTTAAGTAAAAAACATGCAGCTCTTCGTATAAATAAAAATATCAATAGTTAATGAATTTTAGTCTTATACGGTCATTTTGATCTTAACATCATCTGAAAAGTCTAGACAATAAATTATTCAGTCATGTTCAGTCTTTCGGTCAATTTTTAGACTTATGTACTGCGGTAATTTCATTGTTGTTCAGGCAATTTGCTTGCAGTCAATTCAGTTCTGTTCAGTAGCTTTTCGAACAATCCAGTCTGAAGTTGATGAGAACAAGTAAATAACAACTTCTGAAAATTCCGTACATAGACTGAATAGATCTTAATTGAATGCAAACGAATTGTCTGAACAGTAATGATCGACCTCTGTGGATAAGTCAGAAAATTGACTGAAATACTGATAATTACTTAATAATCTATCAGTTTTTGAGGAGATATTTAGATCAAACTGACCGTTTAAGATCAAATTGGTTTTTATTGTATGTCTTCTGTTAATTTTGTTGTAGTTCAGACACACTCGAATTCGATGTTTCTTTGAATTTAAAGAAAATATATAGAGTTATGTTATCTTGTATTTTTTTTTATCAATTACAATCTTGACGTACTGGCAAATAAAGGCAACAGTAGTATACCGCTGTTCAATAGACATAAATCAATTAAGCGAAAACAAATCCGGGTCACAAACCAAAACTGAGGGAAACATATCAACTATAAGAGGAAAACAACGGAACAACAGAAACACTGAACTGCTACAAAAACAAACGCCAACATACATAGAAACTATTTGATAACAACTGCCATATTCCTGACTTGGTACAGGACATTAATAGAAAAAATGGTGGGTTGAACCTGGTTTTATGACTAGCCAAACCTCCCGCTTATATGGCAATGTTAAAAATACCGCTAAAATGACAACATTACGTGTCAGGAATACAGTACAAATTAACGCAAGAACACTCAGGACAGAGAAATACATAAATAAATAATATAATAGTACATAACATCATGTAAACCACAGAATAACAACGGACACCAGACATTAATTTACGACAGTACACCAGTAAACCACAAACGAATTATGAGCTGTGCGTCATACGAATGTATCAACGCCACAAAAAGTGACGTCACAGGTAAATTTCTAAAAATAGAATATGAAATTGGGATTAAGTTTGTAATGGTGTTATTTTATGTTTTTTCTAGCCATGACAAGCATATTAATATAAAATTGTGTTAGTAATGGTGTAATTATTTGTATTTTCTAACCATGTCGGTTTTTCTTCTAAATCAAAACTGTGTAAAAACAAATAAATCCTGTGCATATAGTTGCTTTAAACTAAAAATCATATAAATGAACAAGCTGATTGATTATCTTAACTTTAACATACATATAGAAAATAAAAATAGAATTCAAACCACAAACGATAAGACATAACACAATATCGAACCAGACTTACAAAAGAAATATCATAACTAAATACATGAATGTTGGAAACACGTCTAATAGCATTGCGAATTCACACTCGGCAAAACAGTCATATTCGGGAATAGGTCACGTTCGGTACTTAGCAGACCAGACGACGTAGATAGTAAACCACAATCTAAGACGTGGTAAAAATGTCGTTAGTTAGTTTAGACACAGACACATCGTATAGATCAACCAATGCGTGATGGTGTCCATAAAATTTACGGAGTGTCATTTTTGATCTTTCCTCCTCATAACTCTGTTGGAGCAGTTTCTGCGTAAGGAGCACACTCCTGTATATGAAGTCCGTATAGTGTGAACATGCACGAGCATAACGTATCAACTGAGATATGTAAACACCATACGATGGGGCAGATGGTCTGTTACTGCTGAGAAATGGGAAAGTGATAATTGGGAAGTTGAAATCGTCCCGTTTGTCATAGATTTTAATGTGAAGTCGTCCATCTGTGTCAATATTGAGGAAAAGATCAAGGTACGAAGCAGTCCTTCTAGTATCAGTAGTATCCTTAATTCCAAGTTCACTGGGATATATGAGATGTAAGTACTGACTGAAATATGGGTTATTCAGTGATAGGACTGTCTGTTGAAATATCAATCCTCCAAACTCAACAAACATATTGTCGATCAAAAAGTACAGCATTTTGATAATATCATCTTCAGTATATTTTCTGATCAGTGTGGTTCTTCACAAAATAAGAATTATTATAACCCAAAACAAGAAATTTATATCTACGATTCCCAATTTTATAGAAAAAGCTCTGTTTAATGAGATGGTGAAGTCGATCTTTCAATTGAGCATGGGGAATAGTAGTGTAAAGCGTAGAAAAATCAAAAGTGTTAATGTTGCTGCAAAATTGCAGAGATTGCAAAAGATTGTTGATTCTGTCCCATGAAACACGTGTTATACTTAAACGAGCAAGTAATTTGTTCCTCTCCGTTGCAGTTGCAAGTTTATCTAGTCATTTGTCTAGACAAGCCGTACTTCTAAATTAGAGTTTACATGTTTACCATGGTCGGGTCATCATTGGCTAATAATAATGACATGTTCGTTTGGACTCTTACCTTATATATTAATATATAATACTTTATAGTCGCTGAATAAGTACAGTTTACATCACCATGTTCTGAATATGTTTCCAAGATAACCTGATCGATGCAAAGGAATCCATCAATAAATATAATTATCTTACTTAAACAAAATGCATGAGAACATCACTATCTGTGTTGTCGTAAAATCATGTTATCAACCCAGTAGATTTTTATCTGTAAGACAAAGACCAAGATTTCAGGAATTGTTCGATGTAAGTTTAAGACTCATTTATTTGGAATTATGCCAACAGCATGTAGCAAATCAATCCGATATAGGAAATTTAGATGTTCAAAGACCTGACACAATTTCAAGGTGTTATATATCTGCCGGATTTTTAAATATGTGACAGAAATTATACCAAAGGGGCAATCAAAATCACTCAAATCAAAACAGACAAAAAACAACAAATAACGACAATTCAAACACTTATAACAATAAGCTTCACAGAAAATTTAAGAGTTTGGAGATTATACAGTTATTGCTCCACTAGTGGCATCCATTATTAATGCAAAGCACGTATTGTACCAATGGGAACATATGGCTTGTTCCTATTTGAGATTTATTCACTATTTTGTGTATTCAATTGCTGCTTTTTAGTAGGGCCATTCATTCTGTATCATTTCCAATGCATGTTTCAAAATTACTATGAGTGTAAATCGAGATATGACTTAAATCATGTTCCTTAAAATAAAATCAGTAACATATTTACACTTGATAATTTGTACGAATATGCCATATTTCAGGTAATGTCTGAATAGTAATCATTCAATGTAAAGGTAAATAAAGCATACCCATAATGTTTGCAAGTGCGTATGATTTTATTAATGGGTTTTCATGATTTAATCTACCACGTGTTAACTACTAATTAATGTTTTTTGGTGTACTAAAAAAGACAAGTAAGTGGGTATCTGTTTTCATCGATAATAGGAACTAGATTAGAAAAGAATGGTTATCATGGAAAACCATTAAATAAATAGATAAGATAAAAGAAACAATGGAAAAGCATCCGTAATCATGGTATCTATCGAAGAAACCAGTGCTTATCCATTGCATTGTCTTTACTTCATTAACCTTGAGTTTGCTGCAGACATAAAATTGCTACATCATAGTTATGAGCATGAACGTTTAAAAATAATATTACACAAGTGTTACAGACTGATACTATCAGCATACATTCGTGGTCTCACATTTTTTGATACCAGAATACACGTCTGATCTGTAAATTTACCGATTATGTCATTTTCCTGATTTGTATATTTTTGCTTTTGGATTTATGAGATTTGAAAACTGGTAAATTACGATTGACTATGATTTATCATGTCACACACTGTTAACGATTGAACAAGTAAAGGCAAATTATGATTGTCTATATTCAAATAAAAAAAAGAAGATGTGGTTTGATTGCCATTGAGACAACTCTCTACCATAGACAATATGATGTAAAAGTCAACAACTATAGGTCACCGTACAGCCTTCAACAATGAGCAAAACCTTTACCGCATAGTAATTTCTATACAAAGCCCCAACATGAAAAATGTTAAACAATTCAAACGAGTATGGCCTGATTTATATAGAAAACAATCAACCAACGAAAAACAAATATATACATTGGCACTAAGATCGATTTTGTCATCAACAAATTAAAACATAACTAAATTTGTTTTCTTTTCGAATGGTTTTTGGGATGTATAAATACACATCCACGTTTATTTGCTATTTAGAGATTGCTTTATCTATATATCACATGATAAATATTTATTATAAGGTTTGGTCCTAACTATCTTACTACCTGTCGATACTTTTATTTTGGCATTGCACAAGTCATGTCTTCTTTGAATATTCATGGCGCTATCACACTAAATCCCTGGGATGCGTTTTAATTGATTTTAATTTCTGATGCATGATTTTTTATTATTAATTGTTTTTGGCTTTTAACTAGCTTTCAGTAACTGCGAGTACTCTCAAATCTTACGTTCGTGTTAATTTGACCTGTTGACACAATTTGTAGTGCATTTCTGTAATTCAAAGTTTACTTATTTTGTGTTATATCTCGTCTCTCTTTTTTTTAATATGTACCACCTTTGATAAGTATTTAGTATGACGATAAATTTTCACTACTGTATTCGTACTGTGAACAACAAATTTATCAATTTTGTAAAAAGAGTTTCCGTACTCCTAACAACAAAATTATTATATTTAAATTTACCTGTGAACGTTATTTTATTTAACGCCATTTTGTCCTAAGCTAGAGTAGTCTTTTTGACACTGTTGCTAAATCGCTTTTTATTAATATTGTATTTATATTGTGTCTTAGATCAAACTTATTCGTTCAGTGTATGTTTACTTGTTTTTGTTTTTATGTCCTTTTGATCGAGTTAAGCAATTTCAATTAATATTTTATAGTGTGTCTTTTTATGTTGTAATGTTACACTACTATCTCAGGTTAGGGTGAAGGTTGGCGCCTGTTAAAACGTTTAAACCCGCTGCATTTGTATCCATCTGTCCTAAGTCAGTAGACTGTTGTTCAGTGGTTGTCGTTTGTTGGTGTGGTTATAAGTGTTTCTCGTTTCTCGTTTTTTATATAGATTAGACCGTTGGATTTCCTGTTTGAATTGTTTTACACTAGTCATTTTGGGGCCCTTTATGGCTTGCTGTTCGGTGTGAGCCAAGGCTCCGTGTTGAAGGCCGTACTTTGACCTATAATTGTTTACTTTTATACATTGTGACTTGGATGGAGAGTTGTCTCATTGGCACTCATACCCCATCTTCTTATTTATATATAGCAAAAAACGACAACCACTGATTTACAGGCTTCTGACTTGAGACAGGCACATACAGAATGTTGCAGGGTTAAACATATTTGCTAACGCCATTCCCCCTAACCTGGGACAGTAGTGTACATATAACAGTACAAAATAAAAACATACTATAAAAATCAGTTGAAAAGGGCTTTACTCATCAGATCGATACAAGCACAAAAAACTAACAAAAACAGAAAAGACACTTCAGATCTTAGAGTTTTCGCAGTTACGACAAGCTAGTTAAAAGTCAATAACAAATAATAAAAAAAATTATGTATCTAAGACTAAAATATCATTCGTATCTAAATTATCATGCTCGGTTAAAAGTAAAATAACAAAAATACCGAACTCCAAGGAAAATTCAAAACAGAAAGTCCCTTATCAAATGGCAAAATTAAAAGCTCAAGCACAGCAAACGAATGGAAAACAACTGTCATATTCCTGACTTGGTAAAGGCATTTTCTTATGTAGTAAACAACATCACCTTAAAATTGAGGATGTGCTATCCATTTGGTAATAAGTTTTTTACAGGTACATTCAAACTTCCAAACCAAATCTGTATCTTTTAAAGAATTTTGTGTAATTTGTGGAGACGAAATCCTTGACACAATTATTTGCCAATTATACATAGATTATGTTCATTGATATCCAAAACATAACTACAGACACGGGTATAGCGAACGTGTTGGGATGCATAAAAACCGTAAGATGGAAACAAAGGACCATCACCGTTCAAAAAAGGAAAATTAAAAAGAGGGAACGAAGGAATCAGCCCTTTTGTTGGAATTTTTGTGAAGAGTTTCCCGTGTAAAACTGAAAAATCTAAATCTAGGAAAGGCAATTATTACTGTTAATATTTGATCTTTTTAAAATAAGCTTCGTTGGATAAATTTCGACAGTATATTTAGAGAGGTCTTGATTATTTAATGAAAAAATATAATGAAGATAATGATTGTTGAATTAATCAATTAAATTGAATTAAGACGTGTCTTTATTGGTTTTGGCCATAAATAGTACAAATACAAATCTGTTATCAAAGGACCGTAATAAGGGTACATAGAATACCCACAATCAGTCGATAAACTTTATTACTGAAACGTGCATATATGTTGTCAAAGAGAAAATCAATTGCATCAAGAGTTGAAAGTGGTAAAAAAGAATTCACCACTTCGGACGCCATCATGGTTTGGGTTGACAGTTATGGAATATCTGTGTCACATGTGACTTAGGATATATTCAATTCATCGAAACCTCAATCCCGTCCTCATCTTCTCGATTTTACATTACCGAATGCGAATTATTACCAGATCTATACTTGCTTGAGCAACACGACGGGTGCCACATGTGAAGCAGGAACTGCTTACCCATCCGGAGCATCTGAGTTCACCCCTAGTTTTTGGTGTACTTCGTATTACTCAGTCTTTAGTTTTCTAAATGTTGTTTTGTAATTGTTATTAGTCATTTAGTCATTTTTTTTACCTATGACATTGTCTTTTTTATTGAACTATGATTTTTAAATGACCCATTGGTATCTTCTTTCTAATTCTTAATTGAATTCATTATAAATATAGATATCAAAATTTATAATTTTCAAAGACTACATTTTACTGCAAAAAATGTCACTATCGCTTTCATGCCATTTTGCAATTTTCAGGCGATACAGTACAAACATGACTACATGTAGTTGTGTAAAATTTAAATACATGCGATGTGAACCAGTTCACATTACAAACAGGGAAAAATGGTGTATTTATTGGTTGAAATAAGTTTTAAACTTGATTTGAATAGTTTCGAGTACTCTTATATCGTTACTTTCCAACTAATTTTAACATTTTGTATTTATGTTCTGATGCTACACCACTGTCCTAGATTTAAGGGAAAGAGATACCCCTCATTAACATGTTTGATCCCGCCTAATGTTGAGAAGACCGCGGGACCGGCAACGTCGCAAATTACCTTTGTATCCAAGGTCGACGTCACATCGGCGACGTCACCTTAGCTTTAGTTAAAGTAACAAGTAAACGTCAAACTGTATAGCTGTTGTTTGCTATTTAGAGTCAGATAAAAAGAAATCGTCCCCACATTTATGGTGCCGTGACTAATGGAGTTACCGAAGCTCAAATCGATTAGAACGGGCAATCGTAGTGCCGTTACCAGACTTTAACGAAAATTTGCTTCAAGTTCTGAATTCGACAGAGAGTAGCTGTTAGCCACATACGAAAACTTACAACAGAAGAAGAAGTTACTCGACACACTGAATGAACAAATTGTGAATACATCGGAAACAGAGGATATAAAGACTGAAATCGTAGACACAGATGAGTATACTACAAATTTTGTTACTAAACTGAGACATTTTAGGATATTTATAGATAAAACATCACATCCTATTTCCAATCAAACATCACATTCATCTTATGAAGTTTTAAATGTAGACAGTCCACCGTGTATCCCTACTAGTTCGCCAGAAATTGTACAGACAAATTATGTCGCCCCATCATTACCACAGTCAAGTGATGACGCTCGAATTTCAACAGAGACAAGCCACATTGCCACATCAATTCCTACGTCAAGCTATGCTGTCCCATCCGCTATATCTAGCAATCATCGTTTGCCAAAATTATCATTACCGACATTTAATGGCAATATATTAGAATGGCCAAGCTTTTGGGATTCTTACGAATCAGCAGTTCATTACAACCCAACATTGACAGATGTTCAAAAGTTTAATTATTTGAAGGCCCAATTAGAAAACGAAGCCGCTCAGACAATTGCCGGATTTTCTCTAACTAACGCTAATTATGCCGAAGCCGTAAATGTTCTAATAGAGAGATTTGGACAGACTCACAAAATTACGCAAGCGAGAATTTTTTTATGACAAAATGGAGAGTTTAGTTAGAGTACTCGAATCGCTTAACAGACACATGACTCGTACGGTAATTTATTAGTTCCTATTATAATTAACAAACTGCCCGGAGAAATTAGAAAACATCTCGCTCGGGAGCATGGTACGACAAATTGGGTATTACGAGATCTTCGAAGAAGTATACATACAGAGATACAAACTATGGAATCCGGACAAGTTACACAGACAGAAAGTGATATTTCGTATTCAACCTTTTTCGCCGGAGCTAAATCACAAAGAAAACACAATACAAGTACTAGAAATGCAAATCAGCATTTAACAGCTAAGCCGTGCATTTTCTGTAAAGATATCTATTCGCCTACCGAAAATACGCGATTTAGATAAACGCCTCGCTATCGTTAAACGTAACAATTTATGTTTCAACTGCCTCGGTACACATCACATAAAGGAATGCAAACCAAAAAGCTCATGTCGTAACTGTGGTAAAAGACACCACACTAGTTTATGTAGTGAAGTTGAACACACCGCGAACCCTGACAAAAGAAGTAACAACCGTTTTACTGACACAAATAATGCTGTTAACAGTTGTAAGAATGAAAATACGCCATCTACATCAACTGTAGTAAATCTTGTGAAGGATACTGAGATGCAAGAAGACTCAACGATTTTACACTCGTCAGCACAATTTCGCTCAAATGTACTGCTGAAAACCACTGTGGCCCCCGTTTGGTCAGATCGTCATTGCACAGATACGAACATTTTGTTTGATGTAGGCGCTCAAAGGTCTTTTGTAACGGAGATTCTTGCGCGTAAATTAAACCTGCAGAGAGAAGGAGCCGACAATATTCAATTTCCATCATTTGGAGAAACCAATACGAGTGCTAGGCGACTTGATAAAGCCACGGTTTATGTTGAAACAGAAACTGGACATAAAATTCCAATACAGGTTTTAATCGTTCCCATGATAGCTATGCCGTTACAGAACCACATTCGTTACATTGACAGGAACATTGACTATTTAAAAGGATTAAAGCTCGCACACCCAGTCACGCAACAGGATACCTTTGAAATTTCATTAATAATTGGAGCCGATTTTTATTGGGAAATAGTTGAAGATAAAGTGGTACGCGGAAACGGACCCACCGCAGTCAAATTGAAACTAGGGTACTTACTTTCTGGACTGTTACATTCAGAAAAATCACAGTTATTAACAGCGTCAAGTATTTTCAATGTACTTATTTCACGTAAAACTGAGGAACACGACGTAGAAGCGTTTTGGAAGCTTGAGTCTATAGGAATTGAATCTCCGGAAGTGAACGAAAAGGAGAACGATTATATACGAAGTTACCAAGAATCTTCAATTGAGTTTCGAGACAACAAATATCACGCAAAGTTACCATGGAAAAACGACCACGATGAGTTACCGTTAAACTATGCTGCAAAGAAAAGAACGGAAAGCGTAATAAAAAGACTGTGTCAAGAACCAAGAATGTTAAAGAAGTATAGCGATATCATAACAGATAAAGAAAACCGCGGATTTATTGAAAGAGTAAATGAAACTGAGCCGATTCCGACCAAAATTCACTACATTCCACATCATCCTGTAAAAAAGGACTCAAGCACGACGCCAATTAGAATAGTGTACGATTGTAGTTGTCGGATTTCACCAAACCATCCTAGTTTGAATGACTGTCTCATGAACACCCCGCCGATACTGAATGATTTAACGAAGATTTTAATTCGATTTCGACTCAACCGTTAAGCCGTAACAACGGAGATTGAATCTATTCTCAATGACCGACCCTTGACTTACATTTCTTCAGATTAAGTGGATTCGGAACAACTTACTCCAGCTCATCTTTTATACGGACGACGCATTAATACACTGCCATATCCTCGTAGAGAAGATTTTGATATTGAAAACTATGATTTCATGAACACTACGAATTTAGATAAACGTGCAAAGAGACAATCGTTAATAATCCAACAATTTTGGAATCGATGGAAATCAGAGTACCTGACTTCTTTCAGAGAATTTCATCAGAAAACCGGGAATAATAAAAGAAGGATTGAAATTGGAGACTTAGTACAAATTCACGATGAAAAACCCAGAATTGGATGGAAAACTGCAATTGTTGAGGATTTAGTTAAAGGAAATGATGGACACATTCGTTCAGCAATTGTGAGAACTAAGAACGGAATTACGAATAGACCCATTGTAAAGTTATATCCGCTCGAAATCAGTGTAGAGAGTGAAAACACGGACACAGAACAAGAAACAACACACCCGACAAAGACAGACGAGGTTACAGAACGACAGTTATCAACCCGAGAAGCAGCTAAACGTGCGAAAGAGAACATTAAAACTTTTTATGGACTTTCGAAGTAAAGTGATAGTTCATATTTGTTTAAAAATGTGTTACGCGATGGATATTGACTGTTATGCGATTGTGTTTATGAACTACGTTAGTTTAATTGTGAAAGAACTTGGAAAATGTTTTTAATTTGAGAGACTTTTATCTTAATTTAATGTAATTTATATATTGTATTTCAATTTTCTTTTCTACGTAAAGTACATTTTTGAGGGGCAGAGAATGTTGAGAAGACCGCGGTACCGGCAACGTCGCGAATTAGCTTTGAATCCAAGGTCGACGTCACATCGGCGACGTCACCTTAGCTTTAGTTATAGTAACAAGTAAACGTCAAACTGTATAGCTGTTGTTTGTTATTTAGAGTCAGATAATAAGACGTCGTCCCCACACCATATCCTCAATATGACCCTACTCTGGAGCTCCTTCGTCATCGACAACTTAAATAGATAAATGTAGAAGAAAGACATTCATAACATCAATTGTAGATATCGCTCGATCCGAATTTTTACATTGCTAAATTGCAAAATTTAATGACGAACATAAACTTAACAATTTTAAATGAATAGAGAACATCATGAAGAAGTTTTGTAAATGTCTATATGGAATCAATATCGAATCGATATCTTCGATATCGACACCTTAAACAGATAAAACAGGAGAAAGTAAATTGATTTTATGGACAACTGTATAAAATAAACAAAATTCACAAACATAAGGCGAAGAAAAGACAGGCGATATCGAATCGATATCGACACTGGTTTTAAATATATCCATTGTAAACTAACTGAGATTAAATCAGTGCGATGCAAATTATAAATGTCGATATCGATTCGATATCGTCAATGTCGACAACATTAACAGAATGTTTATGCGGAGAGAAGATTGTCGAAATGGAACTTAACAACTTAACTAAGAAGCGTACCATGTATAAAACTTGGTTAACAGCATTGAATCGATATTGACGGTTGATGTTATGTTTGCTGCGACACAAGTAGTAAGAGGTGCATATTGATATCGATACGATATCGTCGATGTCGTCGATATCAAAACTACAGCGTGTCTTAGACATATCTTGAATGATGTTATGGTTTAAAGGGGTAATGGTGTAAGATGTGAGGCGAAATAGCATACGTTGTTGAATTTGTGATATCATATATTCAACGATGTCTTTTTGGGGATGGAGCTATAATGGGAAGCGCGTTTACTTATATCAATAGCATTTATAGTAATAATCATTATTACTTTTTTTTTATTATGACTTTTTCTTTTCAGAATTCTACTTAGATCCCATAATGTTGTTTTACATCATTATAGAAAATGTCCACATGATCAGAATTGGAAATATTGCATGTATTTAACTCCAACTATCGATAAGAAGATGCTTAAATTGATGTCAAAGCTGCTCATGAATGTAATGGCCGTAAAAAAGCTAATTGGTAGCCTCTGATGTTTATTATAAAGAAGAGCTAACGAAATATGCATGTGTTAACTCTTTCAAGTAAAGAAAATATATGTGAAGTGAGCTGGGAATGCTGCAAATTATAAATGAAGGTTTCGTTCTACCATTTGTTATATTTATTGAGTTTTATTTATTATCTTAGATCGGAATTTTAAAATGATCATGAGCGAATTTTACAACAGAAATATTGATTGATTGGTACGTTTAAATCAACGGAAATATCAAAACCTTCCGGAATGAGGGATCATTTGATCCTATGTCAGTTACAGCAGGTTCTAGATAAGGACAGCCATACCTTTTGTAAAAGAGAAGCGAAAGATACCAAGGAACAATCAAACTAATAAGTCGAAAAACGAACTGACAATGTCATGGCAAAACACGAAAAAAGACAAACAACAGTTTAAAAAAACACAACATAGAAAACTATAGATTGAGCAACAGCAGCCCCACCAAAAGCCGGGGTGATCTCAGGTGTTCTAGAAGGGTAAGCAGATACTACTCCCCATTGTTGCTCGTGTAAGTACACACCTGGTGATAGTATAATTCTAATGATTGTAGGGAAATCTGGAAATCACTCACAGCAGTTCTTAAATTCATCACCCGAATGTTTAGTCCAGCCATGGTAATGAAATGCAATAATTTCACATGCCATAGTGAAAACTTTTGCTAGGTTAACGGAACAGCAATGGGGACAGAGATGCCGTTCTATACTAATATCATCATGGACAAATAAGAACAGTAAATATCAATACATCTCTTTATCAACCTCTCTGTTTGTTCCTGTTCATCGAAGAAGCTAACACAAAGTCGGATAAATCCGAACTAGAACTTATTGTTTCCATTAAACACATTAAACGCACATCCCTCAATATTATGAGCTTATGAAAAATATGTCTTTAAGATCACATTCTTTGACACTACCTTACGAGTGAAGTACTGACTTATTGGATCTCTCTCTACTTGAAGACCTCAGACATTAGTTTTTCATTAAAGGTGCTGGTGTATATACATATTAATTTTTTTTGAAATATAACCTGTGGTATAGTACTTTTGTGCCCTGATCTTGTACATATATTTCATTGTTTGTATTATATATTATTTTTCTATTTAATTATACATTTAACTCGTCAAATTTTATAAATTGGCATAATATGCAAGGTGACGGAATGATATCAGTCTGAATTTCAACAAACAAATCGTCGCCAACCTACTAGCAATTCCACTATCTTAATAGTTGATGGTCAATAAATATATATTGTCATAAAACCGACCCATTGGTTTTCATAAAGTAAACGGTTACATTTCTCAAGACATAATATCTAATAAAGCATCCTCAACATCTCATCTGATACTAGCAATTTCAAAATTAAAACAAGCTATACCAAAATTATTGTTACATGTTCTTAAGGTGTTAGACTTCGTTTACCCTAAACACTTTCCTCTCCTTTTAATTTCATTAAATTTACACCGTTGTGAGAGTAAGGGTCCATGCATCATCTTCCAGAGTATTGCTAAAACTTGAAGTTGCATTTTATGTTTATTGAATATGACCGGTTTGGGGGAAAAATTAGAAAAAAAAATTAGTAGGCTTATATTATTGTGTGTTTTTGCACATGCTCTCAATAGGAATAAGTTATCTGTTAGCATCAGCTTGTACTAGAATCGTTGTTCAGATCATATCTTCTAGAATATTGCCGTTTATATTTGAAAACAGAATACATATAGATAAGTACAGTCTATCGCGTAGCACTGAAACAATATAGTAGCATTATTCAATCCACTTTTCTCCAGTTTAATTTCCCCCAATATTAATTCCAACAAACAATCGACATACCCATATGAACAAACTGTAATTCTCTTTTTGCCGATTTGTTAGTCTTTCATACGAGGCAGACTTGATACAGCAGATTCTAAGGGAGAATAAATGAAGCAAGCATTATCGATTAACTTCACATTCCTCTATATAATTGACGTCCGTTCACTAAATATTTCAAAGTTTATTGACAAGGATGAACGCATCTATCCAATCGAACCTGTAATAAATGATGCCACATATACAGTCAAGTCTGTCTCACATATTGACTTACATCTAGCTGATGACAATGAGGGTTGGTTGAGAACAAAACACTACGACAAAAGAAATGATTTCAATTTACAAAATGTGAGCTTTCCATTTCTAAGTAGCGACATCCCGGCAGCGCCTGCATATAGAGTATATATATCTTAATTGATAAGATAATCAAAATCATTTCCGTTCATGATTTTCTTGATAGAGAGAAGTAAGTTACAAGGGAGATATTTACACAAAATTTGCAAGCAGTGAAGTTGAGACAATCCCTTTAAAAATTTTACGAACGCTGTCACAAGTTTGTTGACCGTTATAAACAAACTCATCAAAGATACAAGGGTTGAAATTTTGTACGCACGACGCGCGTTTCGTCTACAAAAATATCTGTTTCACAGATGACGACAGATATGTTTCAATTTAGGTAACCATAATCCCTTCGAATTCCTCTTTTCTTTAAGTGTGAATACCAAATTCGACTTATCACCGGGTTTGTACTTACATGAGCAACGCGAGGGTGTCACATGTAGAACAGGATATGCTTACCCTTCCAGAGCACCTAAGATCACCCCCGGTTTCGGATCGAGTTGGTGTTGTTTGTCTTCCTGTCGTTTTTCGTCTTTTACCGTGGCATTGTCAGTTTGTTTTCGACTTGCGATTTGAATATGCATTTGGTAATTCCCGCCTCTTTTTTTCAAAATTTTATCTTTATGACATAAAGAGTCATTCCTTAAACATTTTGATGAGCATTTCATGTTTGAATGATCAGTTTTTTTACCTTTTCAGCTTTCAACAAAAGATGAAGAACTAGATCTTCCTTCCCTGTATTGGATACATAAATTACATAAATGTCCTTACAAACAAGGTTATATTGCTTGGTATTCCGGTGCTCCAGGAAACCTCTTTCTAAATTAATAAGATCAATTTTAGCAGCAATCAAAGTTGGGCTTCAAAATTATTGTGAAACTACCTATGGTAGAGGCGGTGTGAATCAATGGGAATACCAAATAATTCCAAAGATCCGTTAGAGTACAAACAATCAGTATTAAAACATTTGACTTTTCTACACTTTAAACAAGTCTTCCTTATTCCAAACTAAGAGACAAATTAAAAGAATTGGTCCTGCTTTGTTTCTTAAAAAAAGAATGTCAAACGTAGATACAATTATCTTGTCTGAGGGAGGGATAAATCGTACTTTGTAAAACATCACTCTAATTCAAACAAATATTTATCTGAAACTGACATTATCAAGAAGCTCGATTTCTTGATTTACAACATATTTGTTACGATTGGAGGATGTGTTTTTCAACAAACAATCAGCTTTCCAATTGGAACCAACTATATTCCTCTTCATGCCTTGTTCCTTTATTCTTATGAGGCTGACTTCATACAAAAGCTTCTTAATAATTATGAAAAGAAGCTAACATTATCCTTTAACTTCACTTTCCGCTATATATAGATGATTTCCTCGTACTAAATAATTCAAAATTTGGTGACTATGCTGAACTCATTTATCCCATCGAATCTGAAATAACGGATACAACAGATACAATTAAGTCTGCATCATATCTTGACTGACATCTAGAAATGAACAAGCAGGTCGGTTGAGAACAAAACTTTACGACAAAAGAGATGATTTCAACTTCCCAATTGTGAACTTTCCTTTCCTTATAGCAACATTCCATTATCGCCTTGATATGGAATATATACCTCCCTTTTGATACGATATTCCAGCGTTTGCATTTCCTATCATGATTTCCATGATAGAGGATTGCTGCTCACAAGGAAGCGTTTAAACCAATAGTTCCAAGCGGAGAAGTTGAAATCATCTCTTCGTAATTTTTACGGACGCCATCACGAGTTGGTTGACCGTTATGGAATATCCGTTTCACAGATGACGACGGATATGTTCCAATTGTCGTAACCACAATGCCGTCCCTCTTTCCCCGAATATGACCCAGCAAATTATACTTATTACCGGATTTGTTCGAAAATTAGCAAACGACGGGTGCCACATTTGAAGCAGGATATGCTTACCCTTCCGGATCACATAAGATCACCCCCAGTTTTTGGTGGTGTTCGTGTTGCTCAGTCTCTATGTTGTGTTTGGTATCCTGTTGTATGTCTTTTTGTCTATTTTCTATTTTTGACAAGGCGTTGTCGATTTAATTTCGACTTATGAGTTTGAATGTCCTTTTCATAATTGTCGTCTCTCTTTTATGCATCTTGATTCTTTAACAAAAGTGTAATGTCTTGATTGAATGCCTCATAGATTCAAATGTTTCCAATGTTCTTAGATGCTGTTGTATCATTCTTATAATCAAATGTAAATTTCATAAATGCTGGATGACTAGTTCACTAACTGATAAATTAAACGCTAAAATGACTCCAAATAAATTTGTTGAGTTATCTCCTGTATTCCAGGTCTTCCTATTAAAATCAGATAAATCAATAAAAATCCCAAGTGAAAGATTAACTTAAACCATGCATTAAGACTAATAAATAAAGACAAAACACATATATAAAATAATTCACAATACTATAAAGGAAGATAAACTTTCAGGGCTTTTAAAACTGGAAAAAAATACTTAATTTAGATTGTGTCAGCCCAATACACTCAATGTTCAAATTTGTATTCATTCATTTAGAAGATAACAGGCTTAAAACATTTAGATGGAACTTGTTTCATCACATTCTTCCTAGTTAACAACTGTTTTTTTCGAAAGAAGATAAAAGAAGAAAGTAAATGTGACGGATGTAAACAAACGGAAGAATATTTATACATCCCGCAATTGTATTATTGTTATTGTTATTGTATTCTTGTCTTTCATTTTTGCTCATGTGCTTTGTCTATAGAGTGTCAATATGTCATTTTGTTTTGTTGATATAGTTGTTTGTTTTTATAGTGATTAAGATTATAACACAATGTTGACTGCTGTATCGCAAGTTTTGACATTTTTACCTATTATGTCTGTTTGTTTTGCTCACACACTGTTGTCAACATAATGGAATTCTATGCGACTGTCATACAAGTGAGAGTTTTAGCTAGCTATATAACCAGGTCTAATCCACCATTTTCTATATAAAGAAATACTTGTACTAAATTAGGAATATGACAATTGTTTTCCATTAGTTTGAGGTGTTTGAGCTTTTGATTTTGCCTTTTGATAAGGGTCTTTCCGTTTTGAATTTTCCTTGGAGTTTGATATTTTTGTTATTTTAATTTTTTTTTGTACACATTTTGTTCTAGATTGTCACAACTTTAAAGTCTTTCGTGTGAAAAAAAGTCAAAACACTATTAAATTAAGCTAAAATTGGTCATGATATCCTTGTATTAAAGCTTTTATAGTAGGTAATAAGATTTCGGACAGCAGTTACTATGGTGATAATCTGTTGAAAACAATCATTATATATATCCAATTCACAAGTGAACTACATGTAATATTTCAACTACAAACATAGATTTATATGATCTTTTTCAAAAAGATTGAACTATCTATATATTTCAATTCTAATTGGTGGCAAACATTGTCTTAAACTTCCAGTGAACATGTTTTCTAATGGTCAAGAAAACAAACCTGCTGGAAGTACTTTGCATTTAGATTTTGTCAATTTCTTCTACAATATGTGGGCTTTTCTTGGAATGTTAGAATAAGAAATGTTCAGGATCTTTTCACCTCCTTAGCATTTTTGAAGTAGGTATTAAGATTTGGGACAGCAGTTACTATGGGGATAATCTGTTGAAAACAATCATTATATATTCAATTCACAAGTGAACTACATCTAATATTTCAACTACAAACATAGATGTATATGATCTGTTTCAAAAAGATTGAACTATCTATATATTTCAATTTTAATTGGTGGCAAACATTGTCTTAAACTTCCAGTTAACATGTTTTCTAATGGTCAAGAAAACAAACCTGCTGGAAATACTTTTCATTCAGATTTTGTCAATTTCTTCTACCATATTCAGGCTTTTCTTGGAATGTAAGAAAAAGAAATGTTCAGGATCTTTTCACTGCCTTAGCATTTTTGAAGTAGTCATGTTTTAAAAGTTCATTTTG